TTCCCATCAGGATGTTTCTGTTACCGTGTAAAACAAATGATACTTACTGTAGCTTCAACCCATCACATATTGGATGATACGAAGGGGAGTTAGCTGACCTCACCTGAACTGTGTCACTCAAAAAAAAAAAAGCATTTCATTGAATAGACTGATGTCAGACCTGGAAAAGCCTGGGCTCAGTTGGAGATAGTCCCCATCTGACAGGCCCAGAAACAAATGGTTTTGACCAAGTCCACATGTTCAATCAGAGGCAGAACCAAGACTTTTGTCCCTTGCTTTCTAGCCTAGTGGCTTTTCTGGCTATGTCTTGTGCCCGAGCACTGCCCCAGAACCAGGCACAGTAAAGGGGCATCTGGAGGTCCAACGAGGATGCTGCCACCTCCGCATGCCTACTCAACCCAGGTAGAGTCTTGGATGCTTCTCCCCTGGGCCCGTGCACTTCTCTCTTGTTCTTTTTCCAAAGGTAGGGGACAACCACTCTGGACTGGAGGAGTGGATGAAGTGTTCTAGGAGTGCCAACGGTAAGTTCCCAACGAGGGGTGAAAAGTTGCATTAAAAGGATATCAGGACAATTGACAAAAACTGAATATAGACCATGCACTAAATAGTAGCATGGGGTTAATGTTACATGTCCTGATTTTAATAACTGCATTGTGGTTATGTTCTTAGGAGATACACAATGACATATCTGGAGATCAAGGGCATGATGTCTCTAATTTATGCATAAATGGTGTATGTACATCTAATCTATATGATGCATAGTGAATATATGTGAATATATACATTGTATGTCTATATCTGCATGAATATCATGAATGGTGAATAAATTTATATGAATACATACATAGGGAATGCTAGGATGATAGAACAAAACATAAATAATTGGTGGATCTAAGTAATGGGTGTACAAGAGTTCCTTCTACTACTACTGCAACTTTTCTATAAATCTGAAATTATATCAAAATAAAGTCATAAAAAAATTCCTCTTGGGAGGCTTGCGGCAAACACCCTGACAGGTCTGAGGATCCCAGCGAGCATGGTGGGGGTTGCCCTCCTCGTCCCTTCAGCTCCCATGGCAACAGAACCCTGCCCCCTCATGGGCTGGGGGGAGTACCGCCCAGGCGTGTGTGGACACCACAAAGTACGCCTCTGAGACAAGCAGGGCACGGGGCTCTGCAGCAGGAACATGGATCAGCGTTGGCCTCACAGTTCCAGATCTTACCAGCTGTCAGACCCTAGGCAGGACACTTTAGTTCTCTAAGGCTCAGTTTTGCTCCTCTGTAAAATGGGACCAACTACCTGTAGCTCAGCTGAGTGAGACCTGCCTGAAGTGACAGAGCCTGAGCACCTGATGGGACGCCTGCTGCACGGGGGCTGGGCAGGTGCTAAGTGAGCACCTGGGTCGGTGGGGGGAGGGAGGGGTGCTCACAACATTCCTTCTGGCATCTGTGCAGTTCCTCTCTCCAGTGTTTCAGCAATGTTACCATTCCACTTCAGCCACACCACATTCCTCTCTCCTTCCTAACCTGGCCCAGAGTTCCCCGTGTCCCAAATCACTGCACACTGCCACTCCTCGCTCCTGGACTTGTGTCTTGGGGTCTGGCATGTTAGCTTGTACTTCTGTCCATTTCCTCCCATCCTGCCAGCTGGGTTGGCCGATGGACTTGGCTTTCCCCTCACGGTCCTCAGCAGGACTCCTAGGGGCTCCCAGGCCACTGAGTAGACATGTGCCGTCTACCCTCACACCTGACAGCTCGCACACAGGACTGAACAACACAGCTGAGGGTGCGGAGGTCTTGTGGGGAGGGATCTGGCTATGATCTGCTTGACAAGAAAAACACTTGGCCTTCCCTCGGTTACTGGTAGGAGAGATGGATTTCCTAGTTAGATTAGGTGCGTCCCAGCCCTTGAAAAAAATGAACACACATATACAGCCAGAGCACTCGGGGACAAGAGAATCTGGGCTTTCTCATGGGATCAGAGATGTTTGGGATGAGGGATGGCTATGGTAAGAGAGAAAGACAAGCTGCAGAGGTGTCCAGAATGCATGATGTATTTACATCTGCATATGTAAATGCTCAGAAAAAAACAATTGTGAATATAATTGAGGAGGTGAGTAGAACTGGGGGTAGATGAAAGAGGGCTTTCATGTTGTTCCTGGAACATTTCTGTACTTTTTAGCATGTTTAAGGAAGAATGCATACATATGTAATTAATAAATACTACAAATTATCCCAAAAAGTGAGGATAGACTTGGAGGTGCAGGTCTAAAAGACACCTCCTTCATTTTCTATCTCCGAGCAGATACCTTCTCAGGAGCCTTCAGGAAGGAAGCTCCCCGGTGTTCTAGAAGCATCCAGAGAATTCGACAGGTGTGTAAGCAGGTGGAGGGGCCACCAGAACCACCCTGCTGAAGCTCTCAGTGTCCAGGGGGTGATGCATGGGGTGATGAGAGGCTGGGCGGACGGACCATTCAAAGTAGTCCTTACTGTACATGGAGAAACACTCTTCCATTTCTTTGGGGGGGGAGGGTAAGACGTCTGTCCTGTCTGTAACTGTGACCCAAAGGCTAGAGTAAAATTCCCCTTCCACAGACAAGCGGGGTCTGCTGGAGTTAATCCACTCATGAATGTGTTTATTTGCTATGAAGGGAGACAAGCCCTTTCCATCAGCCCTGCCCCTTCCGCTAAGCAGTACCACTGACTGAGCCCCACTCCCCACTCCCTCCAGAGGAGTAAGAACCTTGGCTTCCAGCTCTGTTTCTGGCATCTTGCTCCCTCCCTAAAGAGTGGAGACTGTGGGCTGTACCAGAGATAGTCTGAGGACCTGGGCATGACGGGCTCCAAAGCAGCGCCACACTTAACAGAGGCAGGAAAGGAGACCCCCTCTGCTTCTCCAGCCCAACAGTGCAGGCTCGCCATGGTTCGGGCCTGACCGACCTCACGCTGGAATGGGCCAGAAGCTTGAACAAATACTGAAGCCTGGATGCTACCCTCAGAGATTCTGGTTTAACTGAGCTGGGGTGTCCCAGCAGCAGAGGTTTCAGAAGCTCCCCAGGTGAATGTAATATGCAGCAGGGTTGAGAGCTCCCATCCCAGAATTGGACGATGACAACTTGATTGGCCTTTCCCACAGCCTTCCCTCCTCCAGCACAAAGGCCCAGCTCTCGGGGCTGCTCACTGTCTCCAGCCTGTTTTCTCCTTCACCGCTCTCCCCTTGACCCCACACCTCACTTCCTCCAGGATCTGCCTGGAATGGATGTGCCAGAGCTGAGGACAGGAGGCTGCTGACGACCCAGCTCAAACTCCACGCGCTCTAGCTTCTGCTCCCAGGAGAGGTGAAGGACTGGCTCAGACCCCTACGTCACAAGCCCCAGGTGCTCTCCTAAGATCCCATTTTCTCGTAATGAATAGAGCACAGGCCCAAGTAATCCTCTTGGAAAAGAAAATCACCAGCCCATTCTTACTAGGTTTTTCTCACAATTATTTATGCATTTCCAGCAACTTATTAAATGTCCACTCCTGATCATCTGAGCTCCCCACTTTGGTTAAATATCCATTAGACATTACAGTTCCAGTTTGGCTACCCCACATACTGAAGGCTGAGCATCCCCCTGACAGCTGGCTGGTATGTGCACAAGGAACCCAAGCTCATCATTAGGAAGGTAAATATGTAGCTCTGAAAAGAAGAGAATAAAACTGAGTCACAGAACTCTGCCTTGTCACAGAAAAAGAGACTCAGCCTTTTAATTAATCAAGCTCAGTCACTTTGCTCTATTAGTATGGGTAATTAAGAGCTTGTCTTTTTTTTTTTTTTAAACATAGAGTGTATGGGGGATGTTCAAACCACTCCATACCCTCCATTAAAACTGGGGTTTCAAAGCAGAGTTTTAATAAAATGAGACCAATAATTAATCAATAGGGGAAACCAGGGCCGCACTATGACTTTTGTGGTCTCTATGCACTTTTGCCTTCATGAACCCCTTCCTCCATTTTAAAAAAGAAGAAAAAAAATGATATATATGTATATACACATACATACACACACACAAATTATATTTTACAGCTGCACTGGTATAAAGATAAATATATTAACGTTATGAATTAAAACATTTTTCTTTGACCTAACAGTTTCGTTTTTCTTCTACTTCTATAAGAGATTGAGATATTTTTGTGGGCTCTGCATGCTGTGTCTGATGGCTCAGTGGGCCCTGGTCCTCCAGGTGAGACCCAGGAAGAGGGAGACCGTCCTGGAGAGTCGCTGGAGAAGCTCCCTCCCCGAGTAGCTGTTTATACCGCAGCAGCAACCTGATTCTAGGAGACTCCATAAGGCCCTTCTACGAGCAAGGCCCAGCGGCAGCCCTCAGGAGTGGAGGGCAGCGTGCCCCAGCCACATCACCAGACACGGGGCAGCAGGGTGCTGCTGAGTTCTCTGTGAGTGCGCGCGAGGCGAGGGTCACTTTGAAAGCAATGAGGTGGCCTTTTGGTGGGAGTCTGTCTCATGTGGGAAGGTGCTCCCAGAGCCGAGGCATGCTGGGAAGGGACACGACATTTCCATTGCACACTGGGGAGCCCAGTCTGGCTTGAGTCTAAGATAGGAGTGAGGAGCTGGGGGCGGGCTTGGAAAGAAGGGCCAGGCCGACATCCGAATGTGTGTGTACGAGTGTGGCGGGTGTGCCAGGACAGTGACGTGTGTGAGGCTCCCTTGTCTGGGACTACAGCCAGGAGTGGTAAGATCTGAGCTTGGAAAGGTCTACCGGCAGGAAAGACTCACCTGGGAGGAATCGGGAGGAGGAGTCTGGGTGAGAAGTACAGAGGGCCTGAGTGAGGCGGCGAGTGGACGTGGACGTGCGCAGGCGGGGAGAGGTGGGCAGCGTCACGTGGCCGCTGGCCCAGGCCCCAGGACTTCCCGGGGCTCAGCGGGGTGCACACGAGGGGGCTGGGGCTCTGACGCTGGCCCTCAGTGCTGGGCTTACCTAGAGGAGCTGAACAAGTACTTACTCTCTGTTCCTAGCACGGGAGGAAGAGAGCTCTTGGGCCTCCGGGCTTTCATCTCCGGGGCCTTGGCATTCTCCTTGGTGGGAGCATCTGGAACAGAACAGGTAACCACAAACATCAGTGGGCTGCTGCCTAGGGAAATGAGTCAAGGAGGCATCTCAATAAAAAATTCCCACCCCGACCAAAATTAGAGCCCCTCCACCCCGTCCTGCTCCCCATTCCACTCTGGGGGCCCTCAGTGTCTGCTGGGCAGACGGCGCCTGCCACTGGGCACCTTCCTCCACAGAAGCACCAAAGAAGGAGCGGCCACTCCACTGCGCCTTATAAATCAGGTGGAGAGAGCACAGTCGCCCAGGCAAGATGGATGGACAGGCTATCCTGGGAGCTGGTAACACGTCCCCTCTACGGCAGGCGTGTGCTGCCAGGAATCCCAGCACTGGCAGGGCTGGAGGAGAGTCGGTGCCCTCTGCTTACCTCTCTCCTGTGGTTTTCCCTCCACTGGGCCTTCACTCACTCGGGCTGACTGCTCTGTACGGAGAGTTCTCTCGTACAGAAGGAGAGGACAAGGCCCTTGCCCTTGGCTCATGGCCTGAAAGGGGCCTGTACCTTCTGATTTCTCAGACTGCCTTCTACACCTGGCCACTGACAGACCTCCAGACCAGATGAAGGCCTCGGAGCAGACAGCCGGCCTGCCTCTCCCGGCCCCTGGATGGAGCCTTGGGCCTGTTATGGGAGCCTCTGCACCCCTCCTCAAAGTAGACCCCATGAAACCCTGCACAGCCTTCTGGGTAGACCTGAAATGGGACATGGGTAGGGGTACAACTCTTCAAGCAGCTCCTTCACATTCCCTCTTCCACATTAATGCCAAGTGTGGACAAGGCCAGGGGAAACTCTCCCTTGTTGGGGCAGCAGAAGAACATCGTACTGGGCTGGGCATTAAAGGCCTTACCGGGCCCCGAGGAGACTGGGCTTCAGGAAGTATCAGGGAAACCACCCAGGAACTTGGATAAGAAGCAGCTGGTTAAACAGCTATCACTATGTTCCAGCATTTTCCCCAGGAGCATTTTCCCCACAAGGAACTCTCTTCAGGGATGTGCTGGGAGGGAGCCTCCCCCTCTGAGCCCCTTCCGGAGCCATTCCCTTTCCTGCTCCTGACGAGAGGAATCTCAGAGGGAGGAAGGAGGGGGTGGGACTTTCCAGCTGAAGCTTGGGCCACATTCCTGTGGCTTGGCTGGGAAGGAAGAGCCATCTTGCTGTCCTGCCTCCTAGACGGGGCAGTCCTAGCCGCTAACACATGCCCTCTCCCAGGCCAGCTCCTGGGGCTTTGCGGGGTGGACACAGGTTGCACAGAACTAGGGCCTGGGGATGAACCCTTTCTCAACACATGGACTCCTGATGCTCCCATCTGGATGCATCGCTCCTTCTAGATGGCATTTGCCTCTCTTTCCTGCTTCAGAAGGTGGATCTGCCCATGTAAATCCCCCGACAAAGAGTCAAGCTTCCTTTCCCACCTAAAGCCTGCCCACTCTCAGTGGGTCTCTCAGGGTCATCCAGGGACAGAGGCCTGGTGCAGGCACCGTCCAGGCTCACTGGCAGCTCCAAGGCACACAGGCCTCCAGGGCCGTGGAGACAATCTCCTATGGAAGTCAGCCGAACGCTGTGCACATGTCACTACAGGAATGATGAAGGGGTAGGCCTTAAGAAGAGCTTCCTAGCAGTGTATGACAGGGAACGGTCCTGAGGAAACACAGTTGGAAGAAGTCCTTTTAAGCAGCACTTGATAACCTGGCCCTCTTCCATGCCTCCATTCCTCACTCTCATCCTTCTGCCACCTTCTGTCAGAGCAAAAGGAACCCCAGACGGTGAGTCAGGGGTCCCTGCCTTCCTTAGCTGACACTGCCTGTTGCCGGTCTCCTCAGCAGGCCGCCCATACACCGGGTTCCAGGTGCATATGGATGGAGGGGCAGAAAGTCCCATGGGGAGGGGATGGGGATGACTTCACTTCCTCACACTGGGTGTTTTCCCCAGGCCTAATGGTCATTCTCAGCTACAGCAAAATCCTCAGTACATGGTTGTCAACCTCTGTGGTTCTCAACATGGGCTGCCCAGTAGCAGCACATGTATCTAGGTCTCTCACTCCCCAGATCCTGGTTTAATTGGTCTAGTTAGGGGCCTGGGTGTCAACAGGATCCAGAAGCTCCACAGATGATTTTAATATGTCACTCCCCGTCTCTCTCCCCAGGCTGTGTACATGTGGGTATATGTGCCTGCATGTCTAGAGGTGGGGGTGGGGCCCAGGGAGGTCTCAGGGACTAGTCTAAGAGACCGGAGTGCCGACCAATGCTTCCCTTGATGTCTGGGGATTAGGGTGCCATACATCAGGGCATGAGTCTGTGGTTCCCTTGTTTAGGGCCCTCCTTTCAAGACCTGACAGGCACCAATGACAATTTACGGAAAGCTGCACCCCAAAATGTGGGTTTGTCTTCCCCCTCTTTAAGGAAGAGGAGGAGAGAGCCAAGTATGCATAGAGAGTTCTGTGCTCCTCGGCTTGGATACTCTCTTTGCCTGTCTTTCTTCTGGTGAGTTCTGGGACATCACAGGAGGGAGATAAAGAAGGATCAGGGTTGTTGTTCTTGTTTTAACTGATGCATAACTGGAGGCATAAGCCAGCAAAGGATGAGAGGCCTGGGGCTCCTGGGTCCCTAAAGAAGGGACACAGAGACTGGGACCCCTTGTGTCCTTGCGGGTTGTGTCGGCCTTTGCTGCCAAGCGCCCTTAGAGTACAGACCCAGAGAGGAGGGCTCTAGCTTTGGCTTTGTCATCAGCAATCTTGGGATCATGAGCAAATCATTTCAACCCCTCTGGGTCTCTATTTCCACATCTGCACAAAGGAAATAACACTTATTTTCTCCACCACACAGTGTTAAAAGACTCAAAGGAGAAAGTGGTGCTCAGAAAAGGAGAAAAGTGATCATTTACCTACGAATTCACCCCTCCTGTTTACCACGTTTCCTCACCTCCCTCCGAATCTGCTTTAAAATTCTCCACCTTCAAAATGCCCTGCCTGACCAGCCCCTACCCGCACGTTATGTGTTTCCCGCCTCCGCATCTGTCCTCAGCTTCTGAGTGCTGGCTTGACACTGACGTGTGAGTACACTACCCTGTCACGTGTTCTGAGCTTTGTTTTTAGAAGTTCTGTGCACTTTATTTTTCCATCTGACCATGAGGAAAGGGACTCGAGTTTCCCTTTCAAGCCAGGCATACCCCCAGACTTGGAGCCCCCCCACCAGGGGTGGGACTCGCCCCCTCTTCCCTCGGCAGTCCTCCCGCCCCATGGGGGTTGTGCACACACCACAAGCCACTAGCCCTCCATGAGAACAGCAGCGAGGAGTGGGCTGGAAGGACCATGTGCTTAATCAGAGCCAGCTTTGTGCTTGCATGGATGCCCAGGGGATAAAAATAATAGTAATACAAGTCTAAGCGCAGCTTGTATTTTCTATTTTAATCAGTTGGTGATGAAACTGAACTCCATTTCTAGATCTGGGACCCAGGGCTGGAGTCCATTGCTGGCCTGGTTGTGCCCCCAAAGATGGATGGGGGAGGAAGATGGCAGTAGGGAGAGGTGGGGGGCCCCTACACGGAGTGGAAAACGTGTCCTTATATGGGCAACGGCTCACCCCTTCCACTCCTGGGCTAGCTCGGACCCAGCCTCCAGGGCAGCAGTTTTGCTTCTGTCTTCCCCAAGAGGTCGGTTCCCTGAGATATAAGCCTAAGGCAGGGGGAACGAGGTGTCAGGAGGCTTCTAGAAGGGGGTCCAAGCTTCCAGGAGCTCCACGAGGGGGCAGGGCAGAGGGGCTGGCCTCTTTCTCTGCCCGAGGGCAAGCAGCAAGCTGGCATCATCAGAAGAGAGGGCGCTCCAGGCAGGAGAAGAGCTTCTTTCTGGCTCTGCCGTCTGGGGCCTGTGAGTCCTTGGGCAAGTTTCCTGACCTTTTTTGAGCCTGACCTTTACCAGGAAACCAGGAATCATACCCCAACAGAGTGAATGAGATGGGCTACTTAGTCGGTGCCTGGCATGATGCTACGTGCTTTATCTGCTTGCTTTGGGTTGAACCATACCTTGCCAATATTCAAGTGTCTTTGGCCTAGCGGAACGGCAATTTTTATTTAGTTCCATCTAATGCGTGTTAGCTGCCTGTGATGACCGGAAGGACAAATGTGAAAGTGGGAGCAGACTTGTTACAAAGGCAGGACCCTGGCCAACGAAAGAAGGGTGCATCGAAATCCGCTCGGTCCCAGTCAGGGGTGCCCGCCGGCCATGGCCGCAGGAGGTGCCGTAGTGAGGAGCCAAGGCTGCGCTTAAATGCCCAGCCAGCTAGTTATCAGCCACGTGGACTTCAGCAGGCCACTCAGACCCTACATGCCTCGGTTCAGGCTGTTTCATTATCAGCTGCAAACCCCCTTGTCACAGTTACGAATCAGCTTCGGGTTGCCAAACCCAATGGCCAGTGCTCAGGCTCACCTTATTCTCCTTGGTAGCCGCATCTGACACACTGATCCCATCATTCCTTTCTTATTGAAGTGGCCACCGTTTGGCTTCGGGGACACCCCTCTCTCCGGGATTTCTTCCTGTCCCACTGTGGCCGTTCTTTCTCGGTCTCCTCTGCAGACCTCTGTCCTGCCCTCCTCCTCCCTGCTCCATCCACATCCACCCTAGGGACCTCGTTCAATCCCAGGACATTCAGTGGCCTCTTGTGTGGATGGCTCCCCATACCCTGGCTCCAACCCTGACCTCCTTACTCAACTCCAGGTTCATCTAAAGGCCTGCCTATGTGACATGCCCACCTGTCTGATGGACATCTTAAACTTCACAGGTGCAAAATTCTGGTTTGTCCCCCACCCCCTTATACGCCCATCCAGAAAGTAGGACCACTGTTGATCTGTTGCTTCCCCATGAAAACCAAGTCACCTCTGACTTCCCTTTCTCTCTCTCCATTTCCAGCTCATGAGCAAATCCTATCAGCTCTACCTTGAGAATAGATTCTGAATCTGATCACTTCCCACCTCCTGCATGGTCATCAACTGGACATCAGTTGATGTCATCCATCAACATGGACATCAACTCCTGCCTGGGCCATCACAGCAACCACCCAGCTGGTCTCCCTACTCTCCCTTTTACCCATCCTGGGTCTGGTCACTGTGGTCACCTGAGTGATCCTTCCCAATGTCCAGAGTTGGCCCACCACACTTAGAATAAAGTCTGGTCTCCCTGTCACAGCCTACAGCCTTGCAGATCTAACTGCTGGTCCTCCACACCTCACTTCCCACCTCTTGGCCCCTGGCTCACGGCTCAGCCCCTCTGGCCTTCCTACTGCTGGGAGTGCGTCAGGCACAGTCTCCGCTCAGAGCTTTGCTCTCACCCTTCCCTCTTCCTTCTTCCTTCCAGACTCCTTCTCACTTCCTTCAGGCCTCTGTTCCATCATCACTGCCTCCCAACCACCCTCTCCAACAGTAACGTTCCCTTCCCCACACCCTGCTTTGCTTCCTTCGCAGCACCTGCTACTGCCTGAGATTCTATGATAGATCTGTTCATCTGTATTACTGTCTCCCTCTCACTAGAATGTAAAGTCCCCGAAAAAAGGAATTTCCTTTTTGTTCACTGCTTTTCACCTAGGCCCCAAGCAGTGCCTAGCACCGGGATGAATGATGGCAGGGATGTGCCCACTGGAACGTCACCTCCTACCACACATATGCATGACGACACTCCCTGGTCACAAGGCCCTTGATCTCAATGGTAGCTCAGGCCAGATGCCCTCAGCCGGAGTAGTTGGGGAAGGGCAGCCTAAGCTGCCCTGTCTTGGGATTTTGGCTTGCAAAGAGTTTTGTTTCCCCACCTCTCACCTGAGTCTGAATAAGAGGGAATGGGTCACTCAGGCCAGGTTCTGCGTGTGGGGGTCAGGACTGGGGACAGGGGGACAACCAGGTGAGCAGCCCCTCCTGTCGGCCAAGGGCAGGACTGCAAGGAAGTATGTGGGGACTTCCCAGCAGGAAGGGCTGTTACTAAGGGAGACCCGGATGTCTCAGAGAGTGGACACTGACATGTTATTCACTAGACAGAGAGGCCATGCCAGGTCATGGAAATGGTAGGTTTCAGAACCAGATACACCCAGGTGTGAATCCTGCCTACGTAACTCATGTTCTAACTCCCTGCACATGGTGGCTCCAAGGGCATGGGCTTTGGGATCAGAGACACCCAGAGACTCTCCTGTGAACTGTCTGTGTGACCCGGGAAGGCTGTTGACCCTCTCCGAGCCTCGGTTTTCCCACTGAGAGATACCATGCCCAACTGTTGTACAAACTCAAAATGCACAAGGGTCTCTGGCCACAGCAAACCTGGAAGGTCAGCTCTTGTCTGTCCCCCTGGGTGAGTTTTCTGGCAAGTCCTTATCCACTCCAGACTTCAGGTGCTTTTTGGGGTATAAGTTGACACTTGCCTTCTGCTGCACTTGGAAGGAACAGGGGTGTGACCAGAATTCAGAAAGTGCAAAAGAGCACCCCTTTTCTCAGGGAAAAGACCCACACAGCATGATTAAAATAGTCAGATGTGCTGAATTATACAGGCTACCTCCCTCTGTCTTTACTATCAGTGGGAAAAACAGGGGTACAGCTAACACTTTGGCCAACGAGCCAAAGCCATTTTTATGAGGCCCTGAAATGTATCATTGTATTGACCACAGATGTATAGTCTTAATGGTGTTTGGCACAAGCTGTGTGAGTGAGAGCTCATGACTGCAGGGGGCAGGGCCGGTGTGACGTTGGCATGAGCTACAGTCCCCACCTCTAGTTGAGAGGGACCTTGGGAGGGATGCAGTCCTATCCAGAGGCTGAGTAGGCAGCTGGAGTTGGAGAGAGACAGGGAGACCCCACAGCATGAACGAACTTGCAAATTCAGTTACTTCTTAGGGCAAGCAGTTCTTCCATGTACTTTAATTTATGACTTCTTTTGAGAATTTGATTTAAAACTATGGGCTCTCTCTTCAGAAAAATGCTCTAAACCACAAATGCACAAAATTCTGCATATCATTTCAAAGGGTGCATGGATCCCCCCCCCACCCGGAGTCTTTTAGTGAGGTACTATGTATGGCCCTGGGGGGCAGGGAGAACTGGGAGGATCAGGGGATGGAAGAAGGGCAGGACACCAGTTTGGCTGAGGGGAGCCCAGGAGGGGAAAAGGTGCAGCGAGGTGGCAGGAGAACACTTAGGGAAACTGCAGTCCTTTGTCTAGAGGTGGCTTGTGATGGGGAAATAAAACTGGACATGGTAAGAAGGCCACCCACACACAGGACACTAATATATCTCCAAGTCTAGCAACAGGGAAAAGAGTGGGTGTGAAGGGGGCTGCCCTTTTTCTCTTTGAAAAACAAAAGCCAATTAACTGAGAGTCAGACCTGTTATCTCAGCTGGTCTCCCTCCAATCCCTTTGCTAGCTCTTCTCCTAAGACCCAACTCCTCGTCTACAGCGCTAGGCCAAACTAGAGATAAATAATGGTGATCAAGATTAGCGAGAGTACAAGGGAATCCGGTAGAAGGAGACCAACTTAGGGGCAAGAAAAGTCCCGTAAGTTGCAGAACGAATTCCCCAAACCTTAAAAAAAAAAAAAAAAAAAAATTCCCAAATGTATTCTATAGCGAAAAAGAAAATTTTATTTTGAAAACAAAGTTTGGTTTTCAAAATAAAACATTTGCTGTTTCTCAAAAAGGTGCTGACATTTTGCAGATAAGGAGAATGAATTACTATCCTGCCTTCAGCTAGCTGTGTAAATAGGACCCGAAGAGTCCAGGGATTCCAAAAGCAGATACCCTCATTAGCAGGCTGGGCGTCCTTCTAGATTGGTTGGCTCCAGCACGGGTCCTCAGTGCGGGCTGTTAGAAATAGGCTTTTGGGGTCAAGTTCCCAGAAACACTTTTTTTTTTTTTTTTAACTGCAGCACCTGTCTAGAAAGAAGCAGGAATCTGACCTGGGTGGGTGACAGGCAGGTCACACCGGGGAGGACTTGATAGCAGCAGGCCCTACCTAAAGCCTCAAAACACCGTTTTGAGCCCCGCTCTGAACAGAACATACACTCACTTACCAAATCTGCTCCTGAGACTCCGAGGCCCTGTGACCACCGCATTCACAGGGCTCCAGGGAGACACACACAGTCCTCCCACCGTTTTGGCTCTACTGCTGGCTACTGACAATTGAATTTGTTTTGCCACTGTATTTTTTTTTTTATTTAAACGTCTCTTTTCAAGGCTCCTTTTTTCTTAAAAAATAAAGACTCTTTTTTTCTTTTCTTCCATTCCTAATATATCACAGATCTCAGTTTTTATGACCAGGACATCAGATTCTAAAGCCGAGAACGGGGACATAGGTTCCACATCTTGGGGGGTGGCAGTGAAACGGGGCAGGACTTCATGACCCAAGTGATTATATTCAGGAGTCAGAAGAACAACAAAATGGGCCTTTGAGTTGCCTTATTTGGACACTAGTTTTCCACGTGTCACACAGAGTTACTAACCAGGCATTTCAAGGGCAAGAAATTATTTCCCCCACACTACCTTTTTAGACAGTTCCAGGCAAGTAACGAAATAATAAGAAAGGTCTCTGGATGGGAAGGCCCAAGATGGGATTCTGGCCCTGGCTTGGCCCTTGGTGGACCGGGGAACCCGGAGCAGGACGCTCTCCCTCTCCATGGCCTTGGTCTCCTACCGTTTAAAATGAGGGCGGTAGCCTCCATCATCCCAAGGCTGGTTCTACTTCTGAGGCTCTAATGCTCAACTTCAGACCGAGGAGAGAAAGAAGAGTCGTGAATACAGCCTGGCTTCAGCCTTCCCTCACTCGGAAACTGCACTCAGATCTGGTAGCCCTCCGCCCCCCAACGTGTCTCCTCTGGTAGCCCTTGGCCCCCCACGTGTCTCCTCCTCTCCCTCTGCTGTATTATGGCGACTTTTTCTTCTTACAGAGGCAGGCCTGTCCCCTCTAGCTGAAGACGCAGCCCCAACTCACCTCCTGGAGGAAGTGCCCCACACGGACCTCCCGCTACTCCATCCTCACCACAGGGCTGACGTGCAAGCACTGAGGGGCCGCTTGTAAAATACTATGTAGTCATTTTCCTGTGGGTGTGTCTTTTCTCCTCCTGCCCCGTGCCTGGCTTCCCTGCTTAGCAAGGTTCTGTGTGTGCGGATCAGGACTGGGGACAGGGGGACAACCAAGGCGAGCAGCCCCTCCTGTCGGCCAAGGGCAGGGCTGCAAGGTCACATGGGGCCATCAGGTTGAGCTCCCATTTTCTCTTCTGTCTCATTGTTTGCCAACGATGGCTTGACCCCACAAAGCGAATGCCCTGGGGAGGGATGGCAGTCTGGGAGGCTGGCAAGGGAAGGGCTGAGGAGTGGGACTCTGTTTGTGCCAGAGAGGGGTGGGCGTGACCTACCGTCCACGGTGACTTGGCAGGAGCACTCAGCCTGGCCGGCGCCATTCTTGGCTATGCACTTGTATAAGCCTCTGTCCTCGGGCAGTGCCTTCTCGATGGAGACAGAGCACAGTGAGCCTAGGAAGGAAGAGGGAGAACGGTTGAGGGGAGCAGGTACAAGCCCAAGACCTGCCCTGGCACCTGGAACATGGCAGGGGTGGGCTAGACACACGGGCAGCCTCTGGAAGCCCAGAAATTGGGGGTCCTGTGGGAACCAACCCTCTCTCCCTACCAAAGTCAGGGTACTTTTTGCTGATAACCCAGGCCCAATATAACTGATCCCTAAATATATTCCTTCCTGGTACCCTCTTCCTACCTCCCAGTGAGTTCTCTTAGGGAGTCATAATGGAAAGGTGCAGAAGAAAAGGGTGGAATAGTCTCTGCCTTTGGAGAGCATCCCATACAATGGAAGGAGCAGATGGACCGCGAGCCTCAGCACTGTGATGTCACCAAGAGAGATGAGCAGTAGCCAGCCCCAAGTTTACAGCCCCGTGTCAGGAACAGTGGCCCCCCAGCTTATAGCAATTATTCGGGCATGCATCTTAGAAAAGGGAGTTCTGAACAAAGAGGTGGGTGAGGGAGGGCAGGAGTCCCTGTCCAGCAGGGGCACTGACCTGCGGGAAGGTCTGCTGGCAGGAGAGGGTACATTTAGCCTGGGATCCTGGGGCTGGCTTCTCAGGAATGAGCTGAGAGGCAAGGCCAACAAGGGAGAGGGGCACTTTGGGGCTGCCTCTCTTCAGGACAGGGTCTTTTGGCTGCCTCAGAGAGGGGTGGCAATGGCTCTCTCTCCCCATGGGTCTCTCCACCCCCAGCACACGTCTGGCCTGCTTGGGGGAAGGAGGAGTCAGGCTGGGCATGCACAGGAATCGGGGGTCTGGTCCCTGCCGACCCTAGCTCTCTCATCCCGGGTCTGGCTACTTCTCTGGGGTACCCCCTTGGGGGGTTTCCCTCGGGGTGTGGGAGAGGCCGCTGAGGGTTGGGAGTGCTGGGCCAGGCAGGCGGGCAGTGGCACCCTAGTTCCTACCTTTAGACACATGAACAAGCCAACAGCATGGCGCTTTGCCCAAAGCTGCCCCTGTTGTCAGGGTAGCAGTCATCACACAAGGAAGAGGGCAGAGCCAGGGCCACGTGCATCCTGCTCCTGGGAGCCACTGGCTTCGGTCACCGCACTCCCCCCACCTCCTACTCCCCCGGCTGGTGGCTCGGCATAAGCCCTTGGACTTGGGCGGGCAGAGCTGTGTGCACCCCAGGCGTATGTGCGGGACAGCGTGGCCAGAAGGGAGGCCAACAGGCACCGATCTCAAAAAGTGACCTCACCTCCATTAGGTGGATGCACAGACTTGACCAACAGAAAGAATGATATTCAGAGAACCTCACTGAGGGTGGAAGGGAAAGCAGAGGTGTACTAGTTCCCTTTGCTTCTTGGCACCTGGGTAATGTCCTAAACAGGGAAACCTTCGTCCTACCAACCACCTCCCTCCCACTTACGGAAAGCCTATTTCTCAGGAAAGGCCTCACTACATTCTCCCACAGGGGAGGGCATCAAGTCGGGATCTCTGCTCCCTGTCCCTCGGAGACAGACTTTGCAGACACTGAACTAGAAAGGACTCAGGCTGGACTTTTAGGAAATCCATCATGACAGTGAGACCGTGAGGCACAGGAATCTGGGATTGAGGGGAACTGTCCTCCCTAGAGAGAACCTTCTACTCATCTGGGAGGGCAGGAGGATGCTAAGATGACCTCTGGCCCCCGAATTTGAGGCTTAGAGGAAACGCACCCCTTTGTGCCACTTCCCTTCAGTCTGAGGCTAAGGCTCTGTGAGCAGACACCCCACTCCCAGTGAACCTTCTGCTCAAATCCCTGACTGTCCTTCAGTTTCAGCCCCACCCCCACCCCCCACTGCCTTCAGCCTTAAGCCCAAATGGCACCAACTGCAGAGACCGTGGTGAGCCCACCGGGAGAAGTGGGGCATTTAGACTACAGCCCTCAGCCCCTCAGCAGGGAACGCAGCAGAACAGGCAGCTTTTCCCACTGCCCAAAGCCGGGACCCCTGGCCACGTGCGTGGGCTGGGGGAGGGCCCCCAGGCAGGCTAGCCCGGATTGAAGAATCTGGTATTTCCTGTGGGACAGCTTATTCCTGACCTCCAGAAGAAAAACCGTTTCCCAGAGGTTTTTTTTTGAGAAGCCTCAGCCTGGTGGGGAATTTTGAGAGAGAGGTGAGGGGGATGGGAGCAGTCACCACAGAATCAAAGATCCAATAAGTGGCTTGGCTAGAACTGTCCCTGGGAGAGCCCCTCAGGGCCATGGGGTCTGAAGATCCCCCATCCTGCTCTAAGTGTGTGAGAAGATGGGAGGATGGGGGGGCAGGGTGGGGTGGGGGTGGCCCAAAGCCCTGGAGGCCGTGCTGTGAGGATGCCCTCAGTGAGCACTGTCTCCCCAACCTGGTCCTCTAGGATGTCTTGGACAGTACAACTCAGCTCCAGGTCTCCTCCTCAGGGATGCCTTCCCTGTCACCCATAAGCATCCCCAGCCATGGACGGACCTCTTCTGTGCCCTGAGTTTCCCTTTATCCGAGTATGTCTCCCATGGCCATTGCTGAAATACATGCCTGTCTCCTCCACTAGTTCTCAGAGGGCAGTGACTGTGTCTATTATGAATGTTTTTCCTGAGCCTGGAATGCAGTCACAGTGAAAAAAAAAAAAATCTGCCATTCTGAGAACAACAAAGCACATTTCTGTAGCAGGTGATCTGGGAGGATCTATGCAAGAGAAAGCCATGAACATTTAGTCACATATAACCTATCATTGAAAAAGACCATATAGATTTTCTTTTTAGAGAGAGAGAGAGAATGAGAGAGCATAAGCTAGGGGGAGGAGCAGCGGGAGAGGGAGAAGTAGACTCCCCACTGAGCAGGGAGCCTGATGCAGGGCTCGATCCCAGGACCCTGAGATCATGAACTGAGCAGAAGGCTTAACCGACTGAGCCACCCAGAAGCCCTGACCACAGAGTTTCTAAAAGGAAAAAATTCCTACCTCGGAGTTCTTCAAGCAGATTATGCATCCTTGCACATAGTAGGGGATGCATAAATCCTAGTGTTTTGTAGAATGAATTTACATAGGTTTTTAAAAAGCCTTTGCAAGATCCCACACTGAAGGTCATTAAAAATGAATCATCAGTTGACAACAGCAACAGAAATGAATTCTCATTATTAGACTGGGAGAGATGTTTGCCAGGGAGAGAAGCCTAGCCCGGGGACAGGAAATAGGGCATAAAGATGAAACTGCTTCTCAGGAGCAGCACAAAGCTCCCCTTGGCTCACTGGCCATCCCTCCCACTCCTCAGTCAAGGCCAAGGCCCAGACCTGAGGAGCTAGGCTGCAGGGCCCAGAGGGCCTGGGGCAGCCCCCCTGCAGGCCCGGAGCGCAGGCCCAGCTGCTGTTAAGTGGACACCATCTACTCTGCAGCTCTGGGAATGCAGAAAGGGGAGGAGTACTTCCAACATGTCTCTCCCAGAATTAGCAGTCAACTCCAGCCGAGTCCCGTCACCCCTCTTCTGCTCTTCTTGGTGCTAAATGGGGTGAACATGACCATATTTTGGGGGGGCATGAAGGCTATGAGCCCGACCCAAGCTACAGGGTTCCGAGAAGCCTCCTGAACCTATAAACACAGTGTCCACTGGCAGTAGGTATGTGGATGTACATGCCAATTGGTAGGGGAGAAGAGCACCGGCGTCTCTCATGGCCAAAGGCTGGTGACAACAGTCTGGCAAGGAGACTGGAAGAAGTAAAGTTTGATCTTAGACGAGCTAAGACCACAGGGCTCAGTGCCAGGGAGGGGGGGACAGGGAGGGTGCTGAGGGTGGTGTGAAGGATGGGGAGACCCTCTTAGCCACCCCCTCCACCTTCCTCTCCAGACCACCAGCTGATTTCCACTGATGCCAGTAGAAGTGTGACCCCAGTCACCAGCATGCAGTGGTCTTCCGCTCCTTCCTCTTCTTTATCTGCCCCTGCTCCCAAGCCAGGCAACAGGTTCTCTTAATCCTGTCCTTGCTTCTTGAACTGGTTGTTTCCTGTCTGTGCCATGGCTACCTTCTTAGTCTAGTCCCCCCTTCTCCCCGGCCTCTTCAGTAAGGCTCCTTACCTGTCTTTGGGCACGGGGTCAATTAAAACCCCTAAACCCCTAGCTGTGTGTGCACTGCTCCTCATTCCAAACTTCTGCATGGCTCCCGAGGGCCCTCAGAATCATGCTCCTCAGAGCGACCTAGGATGTCATGGGCCATGCCTTCCCCACCAGCCCTCCCGTGCTGTGCGCAGGCCCGCCTTTGCTGCTGCTGGAGCCCCTGCCTGGGAAGCCCATAGGTCCCCCACCTTGCCCGCCAGGAGCCCTGGCCCAGCTCATTCAGCACCAGCCTTTCCTACGGCCCCAGCACTCAGCTCCCTCTTCTCCTACGCCTCCCAGCTCAACTTCGGCACTTGGCTGGAATCATTTTATCCCCGTGAGTGTATGTCCCCTCTTTCCAGATCTGTGGAGAGTACATCTATTCACACCTCTCAGCGTGCCTGGCTCCCTGCAGGGGGCCCTGCTGAAGTGGTCACTGACAAGGCTTTCAGATAGGCTTTCTCCCTGGGGTCCGTGTCTAACCCAGGCTCTTGAAGACTTGGAGGGTGAGGCTCTAGAGAAGGGATGGACAGAAATCAGGGCTGGTATTTTAAGACAAGGCACTCTCCCTACTGTGGCAAGACACACCGGCCCATGCAGTGAAAATACCAGAAACTTGGCAAGCCCAGAGGGCACCACCAGTCTTCCAGCCTCTTGACAACTACTGACAATGTTGAGGAGTTAATAGCCATGAGTGTTTTCCCCTGCTGGACAATGCTGCTGGTGAGTGGATCCTGAAAGGTCTCTCAGCTGTGCTGACACCTGACAAGAAGGAACTAAGAGGTAACACAGCTTAGTGGTCTAGGCATCAGAACTCAACTGCCTACATTCAAAGCCCAGCTCTGTGACTCCCTAGCTGTGCAGCCTTGGGCAAGATACGGTACTTGTCTGAGAGGCAGGATGAAATCCGTGTAAGAGGCCTAAGACAGTGTCTGGTACGTGGTGTTCAACTCATGCAAGCTAGTCTTAGTTTTCAAAGGAGAATTACAAATATTTAGAGTATTTTTTAGAAGCTGAATTTGGGGCTGTCTCTTCATCCCCTTCCCACCCCGCTCCTAGTCCTTCCCTATGCTCTCCTTGTGCTGGCCTTCTTTTAATCATTTCTTCTTTCTCTGATTTGGACCTAAACTGTCCCTTTGAGGTGGTTTCTGTGAGAGGCGTTACTGGAATAGCCCTTTAATGCTCCGTGATAGCAGATACCACGTACTCAAGGCACTCTGGACATGAGTGGTCAGTGCCTAATGGCTCCGGCGTGTGTTTGAGACCAGGGCTGAGGTCTGCTCACGTTGCCCAGCTGAGGGGATTGTTTATAAGCAGCTACTAGTGGCTCTGCAGGCCCCACACAGGTCTCACGGCAGCTGTCGGACATCTGTTTCCCTGAGGTGGGTGTAGCCATGGGCCTCACACTGTGCATATGTCCCAGGGACGGGCGGCTGCCGACCCTTCATCCTTCCCAGAGAGATCACCACAGGGTAACCTGGGAAATGCTCCCAGTCAAGGTCTCAGACCAGTTCTACCAAAGGCTTTCCAACTGGGAGGGGCCCACAGGGGTGACAGGGAAGGTGCACCATGCACTCCCCTGGACATCTCACCCCACCCTAGTAATCCCCCATGGCCACCTGTGTGTGGACCACAGGGAGGCTGAGCAAGCAGAGGCAAGGGGGTAGATGACATGCCTTCTGAGGACCCTACCAATCTGGAGATATCCACACGAGAAAGTTCTCCTATCAACACAGTAGCAGAAAATAAAATATTTTCTCTCTCCTGGTCAATTTTCCCTTAATCTTTTAGCGCTTAGATTCAAAATGCTCAGCTGTTCCCGATTTGCTGTCTGAGTTGCAGAATGAAGAGAGAAACTTCATCGTGGGCTGAGAGGGATACTGCTTTCTTCAAATGCTTCCTTCGGGTTTCAGGAAGAAAGAAGGAAGCCTGATGAAGGAGGGGAGAGGGGCTGCAGTCAGCAGACAGAAAGGGGAGCAGCACAGTGTGGGGTGTTTCTGACATCTCAGTGGATCCCGACTGCACAGGACCTGTCCACTTGGGCCTCTTCTTGGCTGCCGCCCTCCACCCGTTAAGGCTAAAATGCCACTTCCTGGGGAACTTTGTACCCTGCCCTGTCCAGAGCCACCGGTACCAGCCCTTAGCTCAGGCCAGGCTCTGTTCCAGCGCTGGCCACCAGAGTGGGGTGTGGGAAATCTGCCGGACTGGGAGCTCCCATACAGGCTTGGGATGCTTGGCTACAACATTTCGAACCAAATTGAGGGTCCAGAGGAAATGCCCCTCTCACCCCCATCCCTTCTCTCGGTATAAGCTGGCCCATCTCAGAACTCCAGACCCCAAAAGGCCCCAGATTGTCAGGATTTAGTGCCCCCCCTCTTCTCCCCACAACCCAAGAATGTGAAATACCAGCAAACAAAAGTCTCATCCAAATTAGGAAGCGAGTGGCTCTGTCCGCCCAGGAGTGTGTGCCGTAGGGGCTGTTTGGGGTTTTGGCTTTCCCCCACCGATCCTTTCAAACCCACATTGTTATCAAGACTTAAGTTGTTCTTGATCCCAAATCACAGTCCCGTGCCGTCCCATCACTGTACACCCTTCTCCAAACCTAAAATGCTGCTGCGAATGCAGCCCTCAGCTCCGAGCCCCGGGTGGGCTCCAGGCCCCGGGCCCCCTTGCGCCTGCAAACAGAGCCCTCTCCACGTCCGAGCCGTGGGGCACTAGCTCAGGCCCAGGGCCACTCTGAGGAGCCAGGGCTGGGGCTGCCATGAAGCATCTCTGCCAGACAGATGCCGAGGCCTGGGTGTGTGCCACAGGACCAGACGCCCACCTCTAACTGCCCCGTGATGGAGTGTGTACCCAAAGGCCCGGAGCAGGGCACCTCTCCTGGCAGGGCTGTGAGCGGCAGTCCACAAGCCTACAGTGGCCCTGGTACAGAGCCCCCTTCTTCCCAGCCCTCGCCCTTGTTACCTTCTTGGGAGAGGATGATGAACTTGGTGGTCTTGAGTGTCTTTCCATTCAGCGTCCAGGTGATGGTGGCTGGGGGGTCAGAGGACACCTGACACTGGAGTAGCAGCTTTTCGCCCTCTGTCACATGGACATCTTGTAGCTTCTCCTTGAAGGTTGGGGCTGTCCCTTGGTTCTCTGACCTGTTTTCATTATCTGTGGCTCCTGCATGCCCCCTCTTACAGTTCACATCATTCTTAACCTCCTTCTTGAGTTCTTCCTTCCCAGCTGGTTTCGGGGTCTCAGCAGGCTTGGCGTTACCCATGGGTTTTGGGGTCTCAGCAGGCTTGGCATTGCCCATGGGTTTCGGGGTCTCAGCAGGCTTGGTGTTGCCCATGGGTTTCGGGGTCTCAGCAGGCTTGGCGTTGCCCATGGGTTTCGGGGTCTCAGCAGGCTTGGCGTTGCCCATGGGTTTCGGGGTCTCAGCAGGCTTGGCGTTGCCCATGGGTTTTGTGGTCTCAGCAGGCTTGGCGTTGCCTATGGGTTTCAGCGTCTCAGCAAGCTTGGTGTTGCCCACAGGTTTCGTGGGCTCGGCAGGCTTGGCATTGCCCACAGGTTTTAGGGTCTCAGCAGGCTTGGCATTGCCCAAGGGTTTCAGGGACCCTAAAGGCTGGGCATTGCTCACGGCCTTGGGACTTTCTGCTGCCTTGGCATTCAAGGCCTCAGCATTGTTGCTACCATTCTCTGCTGGTAATTTTTTCTTGCTGCCTAACACTGAGCGGAAGTCTGGGGTGGCAGGTTTGGGAAGTGGTGCCTTCTCAGGCACCGGGGTCTTAGGAGTCCCCTTTTTGGCCAGGACCGAGCGGAAGTCGACTTGCTGAGGGCTGTGCACCTTCCTCTCTTCCTCTGACACAGTCTTAGGCTTCACCTGCCGCTGCAGGTTCGCACGGAAATCCATCTGCTCAGCTGGGATCTCCTTGAGGTCTTCTTCTGACAGGGTCTTGGTACTCACCTTCTTCCCCAGGAGGTCACGGAAGTCTAGCTGTTCTACCTCCTGCTGGCGGACGGCCTCCTCAGTGTGCTGCCGGGTCTCCACACGCCTCTTCAGCAAGCCCCGCACGTCCTCACCGTGGTCCTCCTCTGGCCAACCCTGCCCTTTCGCTGGCCAGCCAGGCCTCAGGGTCCCATAGTGGTCGCCGCCACCACCATGAGCATGGGCTCCCTGGCTGCAGAGGCCCTCACAGCTGACAGGCTCCCTCCCCCTGCAACCAGTGAAGGGAAAAAGGAAAGTAGCAAGAGGAAAAGGGGCCGGGTAAGAAAGAAACGTCAGGGGAGAGCAAATCCCTGAGGGAGGGAGGGTAGAGAGGAGGGGGAAAGGGGAGGTTGGGGCTGACCAGGCTGTGTTTATAGAAGGGAACGTTGGTGAGAGGCTCTTGCTTGCTGACTTGGTTTGTTACATCGGTAATGACTTCAGTGGCCTTATAAGGGTGTGTGCAAAAAAAAAAAAAAATAATAATTCACCCCCCCCTCTCCTCCCCTGCTCTCCCTCCCTCATTCCCCGTCCAATCTCTCCCTCTTGGCTCAGCAGCCTCTGCTAGAGGATACAAATAATCTGGGGCTGCTGGGCTGGGCCTGCAGGGGCCAGGAGGAAAGTGGGTGGCTGGTGGCATGGGGCCTGGCCGGGCACCTCCTGGGGGCACTCACCGCAGGGGCGCTCTGCTGGGGCTGCTCTGTAGCGTCAGTGACACCTGGCAACTGCATTCGCCAACCCGGTTCCTGAAGGATTTGAGAGATCAACACAGATCAAGAAGCTCTCAGAGCCAAGGGTCCGCTCAGCCCAGGGCTGAGGAAGGCAGGGCAGGCAGGAACTTGGCCAGAGGCTGGCCAGCTTGATCCATGGAAGAGGGGGCCACGGGCTTAGCTGGGACCCCAAACACCCACACAAGACCTAGATCTAGGGCAGGCCCTGCCCTGCTTTGGTCATCCTTTTCTTCCCCCTGCCAGCTCTTGTATAAAAAGGGGAAAAAAAAAGTCTTCTGAACAACAGCTTAGACAGACATCCAGAAGTAGGAATACTTTTCTCTAAGTATATTACAAAAACAATACAATCGCTTCATCTAAATACAATCACTCAGAACTAAAGTCTAAACCTGCCAGGGTGTGATGGGGCTGCTCGGTCTAGCCCGCGCAGTCCTGGGCTGTGACCCTGAGTCTGGCTCCACACTCCCGCAACACAGAGGTGGTTTCGTCTTCTCCACACAGTGCACCGCCCTCGCCCAACTGCTATTTCCCCTTCTGCTGCTCGAGAAATGAAAACACTCTCCCATCCCTCCCCATCAGCTAAAAACCAAACAGGTGTCTTCCTGCATGGGTGACCCTTTCTCTCCTTCCTTCAGGTGGGGAGAGCTCTGGATTCCTCAACCCACTGTTAAATCATTAGTGTCCCTGTGGTGGGTGGCCAGTTGAGGCCCCCTTTGCTCTCTGCTGGGGGAGGGCTGTACCCTGCTTGTGTGCTGCCCGGACTCAGAGCGCATGGGCCCTCCGACCCTGCGTGGCTGCCATCTGCTGGCGGTTCTGAGCTCTGACCAGCCAAGGTTGTCCAGGCAGGGGGAAAGGGCGAGGGTGGGGGCAGGACGGAGAGCCAGAGGCGAGCCTCCATGGTGATAACCTCCCATTTTATACAGAGCCCACCACCTTTCGTTCATTTCCATTACCTTCTTGTGCCTACAACACCCCAGTGAGGTGTGAAGCACTATTACACCCCTTTTAAAGGTTAAGGAAGGAGGCTCAGGAGTTTCTCTGAGGCAGTCCCACTCATCCCCCCTGCACGGTCATCTTACTGGCACTTCGGGGCCCGGCACGTGCCTCAGCTCCTGCCACAGATGTGCCAAGCTCTGCAACAGGTTCCTTACATAATCCATCTCACTTCATCTCCTGACATCTCTGGGAAGCCAGCACTGGCTTTATAAGAAAAATAAGGCTTCTAAAGGTTAAATAATTGGCCTTAACTCACAGAGCCAACCAGCAGAAAAAGGGGTTGACACTCAGGTCTCCCTGAATTGGGGACCTGTAACCTTCCCCCTCTGCCCCCCAGGGCTCATCAGTACAAATCTACTGTGGGATATGTGTGTGTGTGTGTGTGTGCATGCCTCTGTGTGGATGTGAGTATCAGCCACAGGCATGGATACGCACAGATAGGGGACCTTACCTGCTGGCCAACTGCACCTGCAGGTCCGTGTCTGGGACCATGTACACAGGCACAGTTATCCCCACATGGACAGACCCCAGAGCACGTGTTCACACAGCCCTGCTGATGTATGTGGCTCTCCACCTTGCTTTGCTTGGCCTCCCTCCCAGTAGAGGGCCAGGTCCAGATCAGACACTGGCAGCCCACGGCGTGGCAGATGATTTGCAGGGGAACTGGAGGGGGCGGGTGGGGGCATGCCGCTCACTCCCAGGCACAAAGACCCATTTGAAACAAGGAGAGGTTGATCTGTGCTGTCCTCCAACTCTCCTCTCATCCACTGGGGTCCCCTCCTGGCTACCTTTGTCAATGCTCAGGCTCTCAGGGGGCATCAATCCAAGGTTCAGAGAGCCTCAGGTCTGCACAGTTGGAAGGCCTGAGGCTGTTCCTTTGCTCAACAAACAGCAGTCAGGTGCCTCCTTAGTGCCAGGCCCTGGGGAGGCTAAGAGGCCCTCAGGGCATCCTGAGCATTGGGCACAGAAGGCTCACGGGGCTTTGGGTCAACTTGTGGAATAAACACGGGAGGGCATTTGCGGGTGAGGCCCAGCTCCCTGGCACCCCACTACTGCTAGGCTGCTGGCCAGAATTAGGCCATTCATTCCCTGCTTTTCTTTCAAGCACAGGGTGTGGGGCCCCAGGGTTGGTGAGGAGTAGGAGGCCAGGAGGCCAAGGGCCACGTTTTCCCACTAGTGCTTTCCAACATTGCCCCAGCTGAGTTTCCTCCTGCCACAGGTATAATACAGCCCGGATGCAGAAATCAGGAGCAGACGCTGACCAGATGGGTGTGCTCTACCCCAGCTGAACCCTTCAGAGGCTTTAAATGGTGGGGGCCCCCCATCCCCTGAGCTGGAGTAAGCTCTGCCTCCCCATGGGGAAGCAGGCGAGGGCTTCTGTTGCTTCGATTGCCTGCCCTTAAGGAGGGAGCACAGGGAGCTTGCTGCTTGACCCATCCCCAGGCCTCAGCCTGAGGCACCTGGGGAAGCCTGAGGGGCAGACAGAGGTGGAGAACTTGGGATACCATGGCTGGCCCACTAAGTGGATCATCCCTTGGGGTGATCTGGGGGTCACCATTTCTGCAGCCAAAAACTTAAATCTCTGTTGGGACTTTAAGGTAAATCATGGGTTCGTTCAGAGCCTACACAAAGTCAGAAAGGCCTGTGACCTGGGACCCACACACCAGATAATCTATCCAGCCAAACAGCCTCTTGTATCTTTGGTGTCTGTATCTACATATTCAGTTATGAAGTCAGGCCAAGCTCAGCCCGGGTGCTGCCAAAGAGGATATGGGGCTAAGACCCCATAGGCCGCACCTTTTACAAAGTAACAAAACCCTTTCTGCTCCCACTTCCCAAACCCTGAATAAGAAGCCCACTCTTTGGTTACAAAGCCTTTGGACCCTGTCCCACTCTGACTTACCCTCCCCTGGAATGGGTTTTATATGTAAAATTAGTTTAAAGAATTGATTTCCTGGCAAGTCTCAATCTTTCAAATATTTCAGCTGGAATTTGGAACTTTTTGACATTTCCTCTTTTAGTTCAGGAGACAAGCGTTAGGGCTGGGGAGGCAGAACCCACCCGGCCACAGCTGTAGCAGGGACGGATAGGACCTGTCACACCAACCCCCACCCCCTCCCCACCCTTTCCTCCCAGCTATCTGGTCTCCCTCCTTGAGGCATTCTGTCCTGGGTCTAGGGCTGATTTCTGTCAGGATGAGAAAAGCTGGAGGGGAATGGGGCCCCTGGCAGACCTGGCACATACTCCCCAGGAGAATTTTCCACTGACTTGCTCCTCAGCTGGGAACGAAGCCAAGGCCAGGGCAACAGCTACCCAAAGGAATGAAGAGGCTGGACTTTGGGGAGGGGAAAGGTGCAAGGGCTGCGTGGACGGGGACTCCGGTGGAACCTCCTGGATTCCCCAAGTTCCCGTGCACTTGGGAGAAACAAGGAATGGGAGAGAATCTGATTAAAAGAGATGAGGGTTCCAATCTGGGCTCTGCTACTTGCTTTTGTGTGGCCATGAGCAAATCCATGACCCTGAGACCTCAGTTTCCCCCATTATTAAACGATGAGTTGGCTAGATAACTTCTGAAGTCCCTTCCAGCTGGGACAGTGTAAGTTTTATGACTGTCCCCAGCTGGGCCCAGACAGTCTGCCTGCCGACCTCCCAGTGCAACCCTCCACTCTGGCCTGGCAGAACTCCCACAGCCCTTGCTTTGCTCTTCCCTACTCTTTCTTGCTCAGCTCTTCAATGTGCCCTCGACAGCCAAGCCTTTACTCATTTGCTAAACCTCAGCCTATGGTCCTCAAAATCCCACAAGGAGCTTCACCCTTCTAGGATATTTGGTTTGATTAATGTGAAAGTATTGTCCTGCAGCACGACTCCTTCCATGCAGACAAGCTCAAGTCTCATGTGTCGTCAGCTTCTATTATTTGTACTGGCCTAGGGGAGGGAGAGTGTATCTCCTTTCTATTCTGGAGGCAGACTTGCCTTCCCGATAACAACTGGTTTGGGTGTAAGGCAAAGGTGTGTTCTATGCATACTGCTGATGGTAGCAGGATGACCAGCTAGCCCACAAGCCACCCCCGCAGCTGACTGCAGACATGGCAATAGCTCAGCTGAGGTTTGCTAAGCCTTGCCCAGCTAGGCAGAACTTCCCAGCAAATCTAAAGAAATGATAAATGACTATATTTTATAAAGCCACTAAGTATTCGAGTAGTTTGTTATGCAGGAAAAGCGAACTGATACAAGCATAAAGCACATGCCCAGAAAGGACCCAAGTGGTGAGCCACACACTGGGTTTTGTTATTATTATAGGAACAGTGCTCAGTCATGGCAGTAGCTTTGGCATGTAGCTCAGAACCTTGAACATGACGTGCTCAGTACAGGGAAATGATTTATCCAGGAGAGCAAGTCCCTTGCAAAGTGGCCGGGCACCCGAGCCAGGGCATCTCCAAACATCTTTGTTATGTGGCATGACGTCCTGTTTGCAGGGTCAAGGTCAGAAGAGTGCTCTTCTTCAGTGCTTACATCAACCCTAGGGGCTGGTGCTCTGTCTCCATCAACCCAGGGCTGGCATGGGATTTTAAGAGTGAGAGCATTTTCAAGGTAGAAGAACATTTCTGGATCACTTTCATTTAACAACCACTGAATGCTGACTCTGGGCAGGCACTGTTCTAGGCACTGGGAACAAAGCAGTGTGCCTTCATGGAACTTACCTTCCCATGTAATCTAGAAAAACCTTAAACGAGAGGGAAAAAAAGGAATGGGCATAGTTAACCTCCCTGTAGTGGTTTTAAATGTCTACAGATTCTTTGACACTCCTCTCTCCAAGAGACGGACCCTAATCAGGCTTAGTGACTTACTTCTAGCAAATAGAATACAGCGGAAGTAACAGTGTGTGACCTCCAAGGGTAGATCACAAAAGACATTGCAGGTTGCAACTTATTCCCTTCCCTGAACCCTAGCTCTGTGGAAGGCATATCATGTAGTCACTCAAGCAGCTCTAGGGAGAGGTCCACACGGCAAGGAGCTGAGGTCTCAAGCCAACAGTCCTATGAGCGAGCCATCTTAGAAGTGGATCCTCCAGCCTCAGTCAAGCGTTCAGAGACGACAGTCCCTACCAACAATCTTCACTGTAAAAATCATTCAGCAAAGCTGTGTCAACTTCCCAATCCACTGAAACTGTGAGAAGGTAACTGTTGTTTTAAGCTGCTCGGTTTTGGGGTAATTTGTTACACAGCCAGAGATAACTAATACATTCCCTCTATCCTGTTGCTTTTCCAATTTTAATCCATTCTTCCCTCCTTCATATTCTCCACACACCAAATAATAGGGGAACAAAAGCCAAGATGTAATAAGACAGGGGGCTCTGGGGAACTGAGCTCAGGAGCTCAGTGAACACCTTTGCACTGAAGCGGGAGAAACGAAAGCTTGTTGGCAGCACCGAGCTTGCCCTTTCCTTACCTTGAGCCCAGCTGCACCTTATTTTGGGTTTCTGCTGCTTCCTAGTCCTGGGTGGGAACTTTGACAGGAGGTTTGGGGGGTAGTGGGTTAAAGGCAGCTGGCAGGACATGCGGACTCACTTGAGCAGGATCTCATACTGGCCGGCATGCCAAGGCTGCACATTCTTTAGAACCAGCGTGAACACGTCCTCATTCTGTAGCACCTCGGAGTGGCCAGTGTCTTTGGAGAGGGCTTTGCCATCGCGCAGCCAGTGCACAGTGGGGAAGGGGTCCCCAGCGATGGCACAGGAGATGAGGACACTCTGGCCTAGGGAGGCTGTCACTGAGCGGGGCTTGCTGATGAACCAGGGCTGGGTGCCATCCTGAGGCTCTGGAAGTTGGCAAAGGGTTGAATTAGAGAGGAAGGCCTTTCAGCAGACAGGGTCCACTCAGCTCTCCCTGGTGGTAAACATCAAAGACTGCATGCTACCCAAATAACAGCTGGTCCAGAAATCACTTTTATTGGATATACAGTTACAGCACATCCTTCTAATGGCAAATCTGTCTTGGTTATGTTCTCTGAGGATAATACAGACATGAGAATATTGTATATCCAAAGCAAGGGGAAGTAGCCTAGCGCACTGGGCTAGGTGTTAATGATCTACAATGAGATGTGTATAATTTTGAGTTGTCACTTGCTTTATGTGTCCTTCCCTGCTCTCTCTTCTTAAATATAGGTTCTTTAAAGGCAAGGACCCTAATGGGCCACAGCTTGCCTCAAAAGCTATCACTGCACTAATGTAACATTGTGTGTTAACAATATTTCGGTAAAAGGGACAAAAAGCTATCGCTCCCTAATTGTTAAGTGTATCCTAAGATTTCTCTCCTAGCCCTCTGTGCAACTTGTCACCAATGACCCAGGGAGGGCAAGGACTTCAGAAGGCTTCAGGGAACAGTGTTGCCACTCAGCTAGAGCCTGGCCTTGGAGGCTGGAATGGGACCAGGGGAACACAGGGGACATGGGAGAAACCAAGTGGTTTCCTCACCTCCAAATGGCTTTTGGAGGGCCCACTAGGGCAGCACAGATTCCCCCCCCCACCTGCCCCCACCCTGGTCAGCCCCGCAGCCTCACCTTGTACCATGAGCACCGCCTGGGTGCGGACTTCTCCGGCACTGTTCCAGGCTTCACAGGTGTATGTGCCCGTGTCCTCCGGGAACACCTCCTGGATACAAAGGCTGTGCCGAGTGCCTCTCTGCTCAAAGTGGAAGTCCTCCGACTCCTGGATCTCATTCCCGTCATGAAGCCAGATGACCTCAGGGGGTGGGTTCCCTGAGTGGGGGAGATAGGGCAGGCAGACCCAGCAGGAGGTTGGTTCCCTGGGCCATGTGGCAACTTTGCACTTAATAGTGTGACACTGTACTAAATACTAACCTCTCTATGCCTCAGTTTCCCCATCCACAAAACATTCTAACCATATCTTCCTCAAAGGTTTGTTGGGAGGATTGAATAAATTAATACAGTCTCCCGGAACAGCCCACTAGAATAGCAGATTAGAGGGGTGCCTGGGTGGCTTAGCTGGTTAAACGTCCGACTCTTGATTTTGGCTCAGGTCATGATCTCATTGTTGTGAGATCGAGCCCCGCATCGGGCTCCACACTAAGTGCGAGTCTGCTTGAAATTCCCTCTCTCCCTCTCCTTCTGCTCCCCCCCAAAATAAATAAATAAAATTTTTAGCAGATTAGAATATCATCTGGCACTAGGAAAGTGCTCAATGCATATTCATGATAATTATTTAACAACAGATTTGCGGAAACCAGAAAGGACGGGAAGTGAAAAAAATCAGAATTCAAGCTGCTTGGGAACATGGTAACTGGCTCCCTGGGTGTGAAGCGAATGCATTTCCCACTCTGCCCTGCCCCGCACAGTGCGTGCACGTCCAGGCAATGCCATGGTGACCTCGCAGTCACTCCTCTGTCAGTTTTTACCAGGAGGAAAAGTCAGCATCTCATTCTGCTGCCATACAAATGTTGGGTCTGAGGGTGGACATGGGCACCAGCTCACGTGAGTTTCCAAACACAGCTCAGGGTGGATAGCATTTTCAGGTTTTACCAGTCTACTTTCCTTGGTAGATTCTAGCAGTTTGGTGGGGCAGAAAACAATGGCCACCTGTGAGAGTTGCCCCTGCGGTGGTAGCATTGTGCTCTGCTTCCCCACGAGCGAGGCCCCGGGAATGGCTGATGAGGGAGGCTGTGTGGTGTCAGGATCTCTCAAGGAGAGAGAGAGAGTGGGGTCTGCTTCTGATGGGTTAGCCAGCACTGGTACGGACGCTAGGAGCAGAACACCTCTGATTTCTGTCAATTCAAGGAGTGTGGACAGGGGAGGCAGCTCGGCCGAGGCCTGGGACCGTCATGGGGCTGCCTCAGGCTTGTAGGAGTTGGGGGTGCATGGGGAGCCCTGAAAGGGGGAGTCCATTGGTTCTCCCACAGCTCATCTTTATTACTTCTGCAGCTCAGGATGAACTAAAGCCCAGGAGAGTGGCCTCCAGGCTGTCAGGCGGACTGATCAGCGGTCAGCAATGAATAGGAAGCTCTGGATATGCTTGGGCACAAGCCGGTTTAGTAAGTCTGTGCCAGCAGAGTCCCCAGGCTTCTCTTGCTGGCCTCTAGCGGGAACTGTGACAGACCCACCAGGCTGCTGGTCACATGCTCTTGTCACCCTGCCCTGGTTTTAGAAGAACCTCTGCTCTATCTTCTCACCTTAAACTTGAATAGAGCAACAAAGTATCTTCCAAGAGCTGGGAAGCTCACATCAGCTGGTTTTGCGCCAGTGTTCAAAATCTTCCAGCTACAGTAGCCCCATTATGTGTCCCCACTAATCCCCACCCCGCTGGCTATGGTCATCTTCTTCCTCTGGACCACCGTGAATTAACCTTGAATCCAGAAAATCCTGCCCAAAGGAAGCAGAAAAGAGGCACCAGCAGGCTCCACTTCTTCAGGTCCACTGCCTGACGGTCCCCTGCTGACTTTCTGGTGGGGGGATGACCGGAGCGGGACGTGGGGGAGCAAAATGCACATGGCAACTGCACCTGTTTTCTCATCTACCCCAAGGAGAGAGATGCAGAGACAGACCTGACACCTGGACTGTCATGGTGACCTGGCTTCCATCCATGACTTTGAGGTCGGAGAGGCCCTGCAGGAAGAGGGGCGCGACTGGCTTGCTGGGAGCCACGGGCAGAGGGTACCCGCTCTTCCTGTCACTCTTCTTTTCTGTGCGGCAGACAACAGAACAGGGGGCGAACACTCATATATTCATTCGACAAACACAGACTAGATGACTGCTGGGCACCCAGCTTTGGTGAGGCTCGGGCTTCTGCCAGAGGCTGACTGCTAGCAGGTGGGGCGTGTGGGGAGGGGCTGGAGATCACTAGCAACGAGGCGAGGCGAGCCTTTTTCTCTGCTTGGCAATGCCAGTGCTCTTGCCTGGGAGCTGGGAAAGGAGAGGCCTCTGCAGGGCCAAGCCCAATGGGGGCTCTGCTTCCTCAGGGGAACTTCAACACCTGCCATCTTAGGAGATTTTTTTTTTTTTTAATTTCACTCACCTTTCTGAATAAGTGGTATGCGCCTATGGCACCAAATTTAAAAAGTACCAAAGACTATGTGTAGTCTCCCTTCCATTCCTGACCTGTGGCCATCAGGCTCCTCTCCCCAGGGGCCACCAATATTCAGTTTCTTGTTCATCTTGCCAGAGAAGGTCTATGTATATAACACACAAGCAAATAGCTATACTCTCCTATTTTCTTCTCTTAAAGAAATGATTGCACACTCTATGCACTGACTGATGTCTTAGTTTTTCATTTAACAATATACCTCGATGCCTTTCGCAAAACAGAAGCGAAGAGCTTCCTTGTCGTTTTCTATGGCCATGTGACGCTCTATCACCCTCCCGAGAGATTTTAAGTACCTCAAGAAAGCCAAAGACACTACACTCACGAGAGTGACTCAAATGAAAAAGACCGGCCACCCCCAGCACGGGTGTGGGTGAGGATGTGGGGCGACGGGGCCTCTCACACACTGCTGAACCACACACGGCACACACCCTTCTGAACACAGCTCGGTACTTTCTTAAAAAGTTAAACATGCATTTACCATATGATCCAGTCACTCTACCCCTGGGTATTTTACACAGGAGAAATGAAAGCCCGCTTCCAGACAAAGACTTGTACACAAACATTCATAGCAGCCTTATTCCTAAGAGCCCCAAACTGGAAACAACCCAAATGGCCATCAACAAGTGAATGAATAAAGAGATTGTGCTGTATTTATGCAGTGGGATACGACTTAGTAATAAAAAGAAACAGACTAACAAGAGACACTATGACAGACAAATCTCACAAAAATGACACTGAATAAAAGAAGCCAAAGAAAAAGTATATACTGGATGATTCCATTCACATAAAATTCTAGAAAATGCAAAATCTAGGGATAGCAAACAGATCTGTGGTTGCCTGGGGCTTATGGAGAAGGATTGTAAAGGGGCATCAGGACACATTTGGAGTTGATGGTGATGCTTATTTCTTAAGATTGTGGTGAAGGTTTCAAATTAACCACCATGAATATGTGCGGTTTATCATACATCACTATTATCTTAGTAAAAACTGGGAAAAGAAAGTCTCGAAGGGAGGGAGGAAGTATACCAGCTAGTCAAAGACAAAAGCTAGAACAACTCTCTGGGTTCAGGGCTGGCCCACTCACCCCGTTTCAGTTCTCCAGGGAGATGGGGTCTCAAATAGGCTTTCTGTTATACTTGGAACGCTCCCCAAGCTGGGCTTGGACTTGCCTTGTGCGAGCCAGAGGGGAAGGGGCAGCAGAGTGGCCGAGCCAGTGTCAGCTTCCCACACAGGACAGCCCTGGTGCAGGACCAGCTCATGGCTGCCCAGTCTCTGATCTTGCCCTTTGCCCTGCGAGCCAGGTGGCTTGGACCTTCAATCATTCCGAGCTATTTTGTTTTTGTGTTTTGGCAGGGGCAGGGGTAGGGAGGGAGAGGGCTAGGATATCTCTAACTTTAAGTTTTGGGGGAAAGGGACTCTGGTATTTTGGGTTCTTATTAGCAAGGGCCATATATACCAGGTTTCCAGAAAGCCAGTAGCCATGGGGATACCTCTCCACGGTGCTTTATATACCTGAGGAAAATAGAACTCCAAATTGGCACTGAGTTTCTAACTTTTGGTTCTCAAAACAAAACTGGGCCCGCTGCAGAGCTCTCCAGGTACGGCCTCTGGGAGTGAGGACGGGAGAGGTGGAGAAGGCTCAGGATGCTGCAGGGAAGCCTCCCCCAAGGCAGGCGCATTGTGAAAGGCACGGAGCCAGGGTACCGTACGGCCCGAGACCAGGGGATGTGCTCTCGGGTCCCGGCCGCCGCCTCCACCCCGGCCCCCAGCATCGCTGCCTTTGTCAGAGGGGCAGCCAGGCAGACTTTCCCTTGACCCGAGGCCCGGGAGTGGGCTCGGGGAGGCCCAGAACCGCAAGTGCAGAGATCTCGTTGCTGTGCCCTGGGCTGCCGTGGCCAGGAAAGCAGGCTGCCTCAGGAGAGTTGAGGAATTTCCTGTCCCGCACGGACTGAGGCTTGAGGACAAAATGTTTCTGCCTGTGTAGATTCCCCCCGTTCTGCCCCTCTGCTGCCTCAGCCAGTCCCCGGTTTCAGAGGTCCGTGTAGACGGGCATGCCTACGTGCTGCGGGGACATCAGACCCTCCTTGGAGCTGGCGGCGGCCCCTCCTTGGCCCCTACCCTCTCCCAGGTCTGGCCTCGGGCAAGTCACGGCCTCTCTCTGAAGCTCAGTGGCCTCACCTGTGTTGACGGTAGTAACGGCATAATCTCGGGAGTTTTAAAGAGAGAACATGTGAACATACTTTGTACGACTGCTCAACACCAAACACCTTCCGTGTGAGGCTGACAAGGGCGCTGACTCACACCTACCCACTTGGGCTCCATTACTTGTGGGTTATCAGCTGCAAACGAACAGAAATGGGGCCCTCACCCAAGGATTACAGACTTGTTTTTTTCTTCTGTTTTTGTTTTTACATGACACAAGGCAAATACTATTAGAAATACAAATGTATTGCTTAAAACTCTCCTGGGATATATGTGAAATAATTTGAGAACAACCTGGCTGCACCCTGTCCAGGAGACAGATGAGTGGGATGACTGCTTTGTGGGCGCCTGGACTGGGAGACATGGAGTCCCCTGGCACTGCCGTCCCAAGCCTGCCCTGTGTTCCCTAGGCCCCGGGCCTGGGAGGAGGGCAAAAGGAAATGGTTGGGAGTCAGTGTGCAGAATGAACATGGCCTCGGACCTACAGACTGGGGTCACATGGGGTCAGCGTGACTGGGTCCAGGCTAGTGAACGGCTGAGTCATCCCTAGCATTCAACCACCCCAAATTCTTCACAGGGTGAGAAACCAACCAACCCTCCCACAAACACACTCTGCACTGGGGTTAAGGAGCCGTGAGGATCTCAGTCTGCGGGCAAGTAGTTTTCTCAGTTTTCTGCTGAGAAAAGCAGCCCTCACGAGAATCCTGAGGCCCCAGGCCCAATCCCACCACCCTAGTCTCCCGAGAAGGAGGCCAGGGCGTGCTCAGCTGAAGTGACCTGCGCGAGGTCACAGGGCCAGTCACAGGCAGACCTAGAGCTTGTACCCAGGCCTTCTGATGGTAAGGCCAAGATGTTCTGGAGGCCATCTCTTCCACGTGAAGCAGGCTTCTCTGGTGGCGAACTCTCCACAAGGACAGAGGTCTTATCTGCTGACCCCCATCCTAGCCTCTAGCCAGGGGAGCACAGTGAACTCAGAGCAAGGCCAAGCCAGGTGAAAAGGGCAAGATGTGTGTACTGCACTTAATTTCAAAGTCAAACAAATTACTCTGTCTCATCTGTGGCCTATACGCTATGGCATCAGTTTATGCAGGATAAAACAAGAAGACAGATGGAAGGTGGCACTCTGAACTCACTCGAAGCTCTGGCTGTGTGATCTGAAGCAAGCTCCCCAACCCACAGTATCATCAGTTCTTGATGCTACAGTGTTGATAAGCATAACGTCTACATCATCAGTATAATGCATGATAAATACTGCAGGGTTTTTAGATGATTAAAAGAAGCAACATATGTAAAGCAGCTAGAATAATATTTGGCACATAATAAGTATAAAAATACATGGTTTTTGGTTTTTTTTTTTCCTTTCCTAACCCAACTCCCTTTTTTTGGTTGGGCCACCTAAATTCCAGCAGGAGCTCTCTGACATAGTTTGTGTCCATGCCCAGGCTCACTAGTGCCCCTAGAGAAGTGCACCTCTGGGCTTGCGCCTTAGCTGTCTTCTGGCACAGTCCTGGTCTGAAGCAGGGGGACGGCAGGCACCGGCCACAGCACACAGATGGCAAGGGAGGGGTCCACGGGACCCAAAGACAGATGTGCCACCCTGCTCAAATGGGGCCAGACTAAATACACCCCAGGTTTCCCCACAGCTGTGCTTCCTGCCGCTGTGCTGAGACCGAGCCCAGAGAGCGCCCGCTCTCTCAGATCCAGGAAGGGCCAAGCCACCTGGATGTGCTGGCCCAGAATTAAAGATGGAACGTGACTCACCTGTGGTGCCGGTACTTGGTCCCCTGGCCAGTGACTGTAGAGTCACTCACGGACACACTCTGTCATTTAACTGAGTAGCTAGTTACTGGGTGCCCTGTTCCATGTGGAGAGAAAGGGAATGGATCAAGCCTGCCTCCGGGGAAAGACAAGACCTGAGATCAAGAATACTTGATCGGCACAACAAGTATGGTGCCGTATCCATTAAAGCTGGTGATGGGACTGGAGAAGGGGGAGGAACAGGAGACAGGACAGGGCAGAGAGGGGATGGATGGAGGGGAAAGGAAGGACCTCCCTGCCTACTGACCCTCTGATGTTTTCCTCCTTGGCCATTTTTGCTCTGTTTTGACTCATCAGCAACTGTTTTTGAAGACTCCTGTCACAAACTTCCACATTAACTTCTTGCTCCGGGGAAGCAGAAGTAGCAAACGGAGAACCTATCAGGGTCCCCAAGCCCAGAGAAGTCTCTCTATTGGGAGACTCTACCCACAAGCCCAGAGGGGGAGACGCGGGGGCCGAAGCAGCTGCAGGCCTGGCTACTTCGCTGGGTTCGGTGGGCGGCGCCGTACCTCCCAGCATGGCTTTTGTCCACCTGTGAAGTGGAGGTCATTCACAAGGGGAAAGCGGACTTGTGATGGG